TGAGGTGTCTGGGGGAATCCTGACCATGAGAGGACCTCGCACTCTTCTTTATATTCCAAAGCAAGACAATACTGTGGGATTGTTGGAAAATAGAAGAAAGTGTACATGATCCACCACTCTAGCCCGTTATCATTTTTGGTGCATTGCCTTCCATTATTATAATGTGTCTTGAACTTATGGATTTTTTACATTTCTGAAAAGTATAGTGCTCACATACTTTTTTGGGCATTCTTTTGTGTTTGGGATAAACAAGTTGTAAAACTGTACTATTTTGCGCACTTATTGACTTGTGTATAGGTTTCATTGCTTAAATATAATTACAATTTCTAATATGTTCCTTTATTCAGCCACTTTATTTACTTAACCATTTCTCTGTTGTTGGACATCAGATTGCTTCCTAATTATTGTAATTACAAAAACCTAGGAGACCATTTCAGGAAGTAGGTTACCTGAGCAAGCCTCAGCTTTTTTGTGGCCAAACGTTTTTCTTTGCACTGGCCCTCAAACCAGCCATGTTTGTGCTTTCCTGGAATCTTACTCTGTCCTTGGTTAATACCGATTTTTCAATCTGATTATAAGTAAATGGGTACGGTTTTCTCTCGTGGAAGGCTGAACCACATTCTTTGTTTTTATTACATTTAGTTCTTTTGTGGCTGAAATTAACTTATCTGAAAAATTTTTGTTGGGATCATGATTTTTGTTCATTTTTATGAATTTATATAATAATCCATTGATAGTTGCTCCATATTTTGATGACTTGGCAGTGTATGAAGATTAATAGGACTTTAGTTCTTGTTTGAATTTTTGCAAATTAATTTTTTAATTTTGAGGAATGACATTTGTTTACTTCTATTTCTCTCTGTTTTTTCCTAGATACTCGCTAAGTGGTGGAGGAACTTCGTCCCACTGAACTTCCTTTGGCATTTGGGGTTTTGTTTTTCCTTTCTTCTTCATCCTGCTCCTTTTAAACAGTCAATGAAAGCCTTTGCTGACTCCGCTGAAGAGCTGCACCGAGGGCTGGCCCCGCCGAGGCGGCCCCAACAGGCCCCCGCGTCCTTCCTCGCCGGCCTCGGCCGGAGAAGTCTAGATGTGGGGAGGGTCAGCTCCTTCCAGCGACCATTTATTTTATTATTCTTTTTAATTTTAACCATAGTGCACATATCAAGGAAAGTGTCTTTAGAAACAAATACAAACCCTGAAATGTATATTTGGGAATATGATAAGGCAACTGAAGAAATGAACCTCAGGTATCCTGCTTTAAGTTGTGCTCCCCCCTCCCTCCCCGGGAGATGGAGAATCGCTCTGGTGGCTCAGTGTACAGATTTGTATATAGTGTCATTTTTACGGAAACCCTTTTGGCGTGCATAAGGAATCACTGTGTACAAATTGGCCAAGTGCTTCTGTAGATAATGTCAGTGGAGTAAATATTTGACAGGCCATAACTTGAGTCTATTGCCTTGCCTTTATTACATGTAAATTTTGAATTATGTGACCAGTGATTTGGGTTTTATTTTGTATTTGCAGGGTTTGCCATTAATAATAATTAATGCCCCTCTTAAGGAACACTCCTATTTGTACCTCAACAAATGCAAAATTTTCCTCGTTTGCCCTACAACCCTTTTGGTACACTTAGAAGTTGATTTCCTTTTTCATGGATGGTACTATTTCTTAGCGTTTTAAATTGGAACATATCTTGTGTCACGAAGCTTTAAATTATTATTTTAAGTTTCTCCCCGATGAAGTGCTCTCGTCTCACATTCGTTTGGAATCGTTCCACTGCCAGCGCCGCGCCAGCTGTCCGGCCTCCCATCTCATTCTGTTGCACCTGTAGTGAAGGCTGCATATCGTCTTTCCCATCTAAAATGTCTGGATGCTCACACAAATAAATTTTATAACACTTCCCTTGCATACTCTCTGAAACATGACTTGAGAGGGCAGTGCGCCTGCTGTGTGTGTGTGTGTGTGTGTATGTGTATGTGTGTGGTTGTGTGGTGAGACGAGGCATTTTAGGACGCGCCAGGAAGAAGTGCCCAAATTCAAAATGCTGGATGTTCAGGTCAGTTCCCTATGCAACTTTAAGAATTAGTCACTGAGAAGATAGGATTGAGTTCTGCTGATTTGTAAAATTGCGCGCGCTCTTCCCAGGGACCTCAGTTAAGGGTTATTTTGTTCTCCTACAGGAGCCTGTGTCTGCTAGCGTGGCAGCCAGGTGCCTACTTTTCTTGGCTTGTGACAGGGTCTTGCTTGCCAATGGGGCATCAATCTCTGGGCTTGTGGTATGGGAATAGAGTTTTTACAGCAATTTGACTGTCTGAGGTATGCGTGGCCCTTTTATATTTTTTATATGAATCAGTCACCTCTTGTTGAGGGGAAGTTCTTGAGGGGAAGACAGGACTTTCAGAAGCAAGGGAGATGCTGGGTAAACTGGGATGGAAGGTCAGGAGCCTGTCAGCCTAGCGCCCTGGAAGTTAGGACAGAGGCTCGAGTGAGAGGCGTTTGAGTGGGTGGTTATTGTTTAGGTTTGGTAGTTTTAAATCCTAAAATTTTGTTTTTTAATTAGAAGTAGATTTGGGTGAAATTTCTATAAAGGATACACTTTGGTTAGGGGACACAGAAATGAGTTGCTAATTCTTATTGTATGTGCTATTCTGCAGCAAGGATGTTAACTTGAACAGTAAATTTTGTGTTTCCTTTTTGTGTTTCCAATAGTATTCTGTATGCGGGAGCTTTGATTTCCCATTGTGAGGCCTAAGCCAAAGATGAGTTTTGTTCATTACAGGAGAATCACTCAAAGATCGAGCAGTGTTCCCCCAAAGTGCTTGTCTGATTTTAAGATGGACAACCTAGACAGCAGCTGACTTAAAGGTCCTAAAATTTGCCAGTGGACAGTGGCATATCAAGACGCCGAAGCCAATCTTAAATACGAGTAATGGTTAGTAGATAGTCTGCAATCACTAGGTTATTATACACAATGCTATCTCCCAGGTAAAGTAGAAAACGACTCTCTTAGTTGATTGGAAGTATAGTCTGTTGATTAAGCTTCCTGGGAAAGATGCGGTTTAACTGAATGTTAAAAGTACATTCAATCTCTTCTGAACCGTTACTTTCTGTAGCCACACAGACTCGGCTTGTTTTTAAGGGCATCTTCTTTACCAGGGAGGCTAGCATTTGGGTGTCCACTGCAAGTCCTTTATTAAAGACAGATCGGGGTACCGGAGCTACAAGGGAACCTGCCTCCGACCGTGTAGACTGCTGTTGGTGTTGAGCCAGACCTGGGAGCTCAGCACTCGGGATGGATTTACTAACACTCGGAAGTCTCTCTATGCCAAACCCCAGCAGCTAAAAGCTTATCCGTAGAGACTGCAGATGGTGGTGGCGCTCCCAGCGGGAGAAGACGGTTTCTCACACAAGCACAGCTACCACCTTTTGGAAACCGAGGCAGGGGGCCGACAGTCTTGATGTAACCAAGTGCCACACACCTTCCGAATCTGACAGTTTCGTTCTCAAATTGGTCTTGTGGAGTGTCTAGTTCTTCATGTAAGCATTTGTACCTTTATTTTGGCAAAACATATGGTCTGTTTATAAGCGTTTTTATATGTTCTTCTTTAAAAAATACGGCTTCTGTATTTCTGCTATAAAATATGGCAATAAATGGGGAGTGCTGCAAGGTGTGTTCTTAAGCACAGGTACTGTATCACGCAAGGGTCAATAAAGTTCACAGAAAACAATGATTTTTGTAAGTTTGTGTCTTATGTGTGGAGGGAATAGAGTGAATCCCTCTCCCCCAAATTCATATATTGGAATCCTAATGCCCAGTGCGACGGCACTAGGAGGAAGGGATTGGGCCATGAGGCTGGAGCCTTCCTGGTGCGATGAGTGTCCACACAGAAGAGACCACAGAAACCCCTCGCCCTTCCACCATGTGAAGATGCGATGAGGCTGGCTGTGACCTAGGAAAGCTCTCAGCAGACACTGAGTCTGCCGGCACCTCGATCTTGGACTTCTCAGCCTTCAGAACTATAAGCCCCCCTCAGCCTGTGGCATTTTTGTGATGGCTGGGATGGACCAAAGGCAGAGGGTGGCTCTGAAACTGTTCCTGGCAGCTTGGGGGCAGTGAATTGCCCATATGATTTGGACTTAGTTTTCTTTAATATTTTTATTGATTTTATTTTTAAAAATATATTTTATTGATTTTTCTGAGGGAGAGGGATAGAGTTAGAAACATCGATGAGAGAGAATCATCGATCAGCTGCCTCCTGCATCCCCCCCACTGGGGATGTGCCTGCAACCCGACATGCCCTTGACCGGAATCGAACCCAGGACCTTTAAGTCCACAGGCCGATGCTCTATCCACCGAGCCAAACCAGTCCTGGCTGTGTTTATTGATTTTAGAGAAGGGAGAGGGAGAGAAAGAAACATCAATGATGAGAATCACTGATCATCTGCCTCCTGCACGCCCCTTGGGGATTGAGCCTGCAACCCAGGCATGTGTCCTGACCAGGAATCGAATAGTGACCAGTACATAGGTCTACGCTCAATCACCAAGCCCCGCCAGAGTTAGGTTCTTTGGAGTCACGGGAGCAGGGAGCACAGAGGTGCTACTCAGATCTGAGCCGTTTCCAGCAAACGGTTTGGGACCCAGAAATACCGAGGTGGGAGTTTTCCTGCTCCGGCCTGCCATCGGGGCGCTGGTCTTGCCCCTGGGGTGTACATGGGAGAAGCCTCAGGGAACTCATCTCGAAGGCCCCTCCCTGTCTGCTTCCCCCTCCTCCACCGAGTTTAGTCCTTGTCTTACATAGCCCCCGGGATCCGTCTCCTAGGAATGCCTGGTTTCCAGGTGCAGACTCTACAAGATATGTTTTGCAAAATGCTGTCTTGAAGAGTTTTTCTCTCCCCCCCCCACCCTTCTCCTGCAGTGACCAGCCAGCTCCGCCCCTCGCCGGCAGACACACCCACCCACCCGAATTAGGTGAAAATGAAACCAAGAGACAAGGTAGGTGGTTTTGCCTTAAAACTTCAGTATGCTGGATTGTGGCGTGAGGTATTTTTATTCCCTTTTGTTAGTACTTAAAACCATCTGGTACACATTGTAAGGCAAATGATTAACACATCTCAAGCTACTCGTCCTTGTGTACATTGCCGAGCCCACGCAGCCAGTCACAGCTCCACGGAGTCCTGCGCCTTAGGTGGGGGCTGTCCCCGCAGTGGTGGGGAGGGGAGGGCTGTGCTGATCGGCCGCCCTGCCGCACCCCCTCAGAGAGGGCTTAGGGACCCCGGGGAATAGCAGCCACCGCTCCCACAGAGAACAGGCAGACGGGTTCTGACTAGTAGGCCCAGTGTGACTGGAAACCATATTCCCTGTGTTGTCTGACTGTCAAGGTTGTGCAATGTCATACTGTCCTACCCCGTACCTGGGGGAATGAGTATACAAAAGAAAAAAGAATGCTTTTTGGAGACAGGCACGATATATACTACTACTGAACGCGCAGTTCCAAACCACAGTTGAGGAGGATACAGATAGGAATGACGATGGGTGGGGGAGGGGAGGGGGGAGACACTCTGCACCAGCCTTCAGGGCGTTCGCACACCCACGGGAGCTCACAAATTCCATAACGCGACATCACAAATGGCCCTGCTCACGGACATACAGGCTTCATGCTTGTGAAACAGACAGCAAAACACCCACAGCTTAATATCTTCCCATGGTTATGTACCACTCACACACAGTACAGTGATAGTCTAGACGTCGCACCGGACTTTCTGCTCCAGTTCGTCAAGAGTCATCGCGCGGACAGTTTGGTCCGCTTGCACCAGGAAGTGGGTCTGGGAGCCGGCGTCTCACGGGAGCGCGAGACCCCACAGTGGCACATCGTGTGCGGCGAATCGCTTACTAATCAAAGGAGTAACGTCCTATTATTATAAAAGTAGAAAGATTGGGGGAGAAAAGCGAAATCTGAAAATGATCTCATTTGCTTAAGACTGTGCCGTGTGTATTGCAAACACTGGAGAATCCGTTTTCATAAAATGCAGCAGCCCGGAGAGAGAAGGAGAGCACTTGCCCTGTCTTTTGGTCAAACGGATGTGTGTGGACTGCGTTAAGGCGCAGTCGTGGAGGGGGGAGTTGTCATTTGGCACTACATCAATGACAGTGCTTTAATACTGGCACAAGCTCGAAACAGCCCGTCGAGGGGAGGACAGGAGGTGCCCCCGGCGTCGGAGGTGGGGGCGCTTCTGTTCGGGTGGGAAACGGACGGCGGAGAGACAAGGTTAGACATGGTTCTGCAGAGACAGGTGAGAGAGGCCGTAAAACCAGGTTTGTGTTTTCCAGACAGGCGTTCATTTTACTAGGCATCGTTAACAGAACGGCTGCCAGGAGAGCAGCCACGGCGGAGCCGGCTGACGGCGTCCGGCCGTCAGTACAGGTGGGATTCTTTGTGACTCAGAGAGTGGGCCCGGGAGGCCGCGCTGGTGGCACTTCGGATCACCTCCATCCACCTAGAGCAAGAAAGCAAGACGGCTGTCAGGGGCCACGTTTTATGGATACAAACGCACGTCTCGGATGTCTTACTTGTCACCTGCCATGCTAGCAGGTGAGTTCTTAAACGAACCGTAACACCCCTGTAACAGAAAGCAGGGTTAGGGTGCCTTCGGGTGTTCCTCGGTCTGTTTGAGAACTGTGGCCCTCCCTGTACAAAGTTTACAGACGTGCCATGTCCAAGACGTGGCAGGCAGCCCGTCTCTTGTGAGCCGTGAGCGGTGAGGGGGCGCCTGGCTGTTGAGAAACGAACGCTCTGCCTCGTAACCCTTCCCATGGACACTGATGTGCATCCCGCCCTGCGTACGGGGCTGTTTTCTGTGTCTGAGTACGTGCGGGACACGGGCAGTTTTCAGATACCTGGGGACACTGGCGTTTTCTGGAGAGGTTGCCGGTTGTCACAACGGAGGGAGAGCAACTGACATGGAGGGGTAGTGGCCAGGGTGCACAGCATGGACCCTAACACAGAACGTCTGGTCTAAAATGTAGGCGGCCAAAACCAGTTTGGCTCAGTGGATAGTGCGTCGACCTGTGGATTCAGGGGTCCCAGGTTCGATTCCAGTCAAGGGCATGTACCTTGGTTGCGGGCACATCCCCGGTAGGGGGTGTGCAGGAGGCAGCTGATCGATGTTTCTCTCTCACAGATGTTTCTAACTCTCTCTCCCTCTCTCTAAAAACAAACAAATAAATAAAATGTAGACGACACTCGGGCTGAGAAAACGTGGTGTGCCGAACCTCCTGCCCTCGTGGAGCTTACACTGGGCTCTGGACGATCCGTAAGCGTAAGTCTTTTTAGGGCCTCACACTGAGGGCTGGCTTATCCTTGCCACGGCAGTGACAAGATTCCAACCTGGATAAACTTTCTAGCCCGGGATCAAGTTTAAGAATTGCTTTGCCCCGGTTCACTGCTCAAGCCGTGAGCCTAGAGGCCGCCGCTGTGGGAGGTTATGGGAGGTGGTCCTGGTTTGAAGCCCCTGCGCTCTCTTTAGGGACTGTGCTCAGCGCAAAGCCAGCCCATCGGGGGTCAGTGTCAGCAGGTGGTGAGGAGACAAGTTAGGTTGGAGACTGTGCCCTGTCTGTGCCCCGAGGACACCATACAGAAGCGGACACAGTCTCCTCAGGGTGCCGTCCCAGGGGCCCAGAATTCACCCTTGACGTTTCAGTGACAGACTGAAGCCACGGGTCAAACATGGTCTGGCTCTACTGTCTTGAGTCTCACTGATAAGGGAACTCTGAGAGGCACTAGGATCCCTAAACTTCCTCATATGGGTCTTTTGACTGGAAACATAACCTTTGACTACAGCCCATCAGGAATATTAGGACTAGCCGAAACCAGTTTGGCTCAGTGGACAGAGCGTCGGTCTGCGGACTGAAAGGTCCCGGGTTTGATTCCAGTCAAGGGCATGTACATTGGTTGCGGGCACATCCCCAGTAGGGGGTGTGCAAGAGGCAGCTGGTCGATGTTTCTCTCTCATCGATGTTTCTAGCTTTTTATCCCTCTCCCTTCCTCTCTGTAAAAAAAATCAATAAAATATAAGTTAAAAAAAGAAAGAAATGTTAGGACTAAACCGCTACAGAAGCCACAGACTGATGAACACACATTAGAGATTTAAAAGTGTGTATCGTTAACCAGCACTGCAGGTTAAGGATGGAGAATGATTCCCTGGGAGCAGAAGGGGACTCCGGAGGAGGGACCCCGATTCATCCTCAGCACCTGCCAGGGCGGGAAGGACAAGAGCGGGAATGCCCACAGTGGGCTCCCCGAATAGCCTGCCTGGGCGAGATCCTGTTGTTTAAGAGAGGAGCGGCCCTTTCCTGCAGGGGGGACATTTACCTCTCAAACGTGTATTCACTCTCGGCCCGGAAGTAGTACACGTGGGACTTGAAGTGCAGCTTGAACACGTAGTCCTTGTGGATGTCCTCGGACTCGGAGGGGATGGTGAGCGAGTAGCCCAGCAGGGGCAGGCTGGCCAGGGGGTGATTGTCCTGGGGAGGCCAACGGAAGGTGGCGGTGGAGAGGTGGCCACCGGCGCTGAGCCGGGCTGCAGCCTCTTACCCTGCAGCCGCTCGGGGAGCCGAGGCGCCTGGTCCTGGCCAGTGCTCTGTGGGCCGCTAGTGCACCCCAGCCAGGACACAGTCCACCAGTTCAGTCACTGCCCCTCCCCAACCCACCAGCACCCAGGCCGCCCTTCAGCGAATGATGTCAGCCTGAGGGGAGGGTCTCATGCATGTGGCCTCTTGTCGGTTGCTTTCTCTCCATGCCTGCCCCATGACGGGGGGGGGGTGTAATGTTGGGGGTCCCTGAGGCTCTCCCCAGCCTGCACACAGGGCTCTATTCCAAGGGTCACAGGGCTCCTGCCCTGGGGGACACGGGGTGCGGTGGGGGTTACATACCTGGTGTGACTTATAGAAGAACAGGCAGAAGTTGGTGAACACCACCCACAGCTTCTGCCACCCGTTGCTGTTTTTGAATTTCCTCAGCAGGTTCCCAGACAGCTGGTTCTGAAAGACAAGCAGGCCTGTGAGGCGCGCAGGTGGGGCTCACACACAGTCCCCCTCTGTCCAGGGGGGCTTCCTGAGACTGACAGTGGCCTTCCTCTCGGGTACGGGGACCACATGACGTGGGTAATTCCTCCTGTCACCTATGATTGGTTGAATTACGTCCCTGTCTTCCCCAAAAGATGCGCTAACCCCAGGACCTCAGAATGTGGCCTTGGAAATGGCGCCCTCACAGCTATAATTCAAGAGGAAGCTGTAAGGAAGCAAGGCAGGCCCATAGTCCCCACGGTGGGTGTCCTTCTGCGAGAGGAGAGACGGTCTGCAAGGATGGACGAGCCAAAGAACACCATGGCCAGCAAACCACACAAGGGGACGAGGCGAGGAGGGATCCTCCCTTGCAAGTTTGAGAGGGAGCTGGCCCTCTTGACCTGGAGCTGGCCCTAGGTTTCCAGAGTCATGGCATAAATCTCGTTAAGCCACGAAATTGGCAGTGCCTTGTGATGGCAGCCAGAGGTAGGGATCCAGCACCCCTCCACCAGGAGCCCTTCCTGAGCCCCACACCAGCGGCTCCTGGCTGCCATCTAGTGGCCCGGGCAGAACACTGGCTTTTGGGAGGGAGAGGTGACCTCCCCCGAGGAGCTAAAGGAAGAGTGAGTGGCTGGGCATGCTGGTAGCCCCTGTGAGCACACAGTGTTGCTGTGAACGGCTAGGCAGCCAAGGTGAGTCACTGGCTGTGAAGATACCGAGAAGGCTGTTCATGTCCCTTGATGGCAGCTCATTCCCAGGGAGACTCACCGCAGTGGTGGGATGGCCACAGCTTTGTGAATGTGACTGACTTGTTCGTTCACTTACGAGTGGTTACGTGGCCACGTCTGCCCCAACGAACAGAATGCGTACAAAGTATACTGAGTCTACTTCCATCCCTTTGGTACTCGTCCAGTAACTTGTATTTCACCCAATAAACGTTTTAGAGTACCCACTTAAGTAAGGCGGGAGTTGAGACGAGAGGTTTAGATGTGTTTGCCCTCACGCTGCTCATAGTCCGACAGGAAGACAGGAATGAAGGAAATCGGGCTGACAGGACACAGGAAGTAGAGCTCGTCCTGTGAACTGGAGTCGGCTGAACTGAGGGGGGTGCCACAGAGGGAGGGGGTGCCCTATTCCCCTGTCTGGCTGCCACTCACCCACTGGCTGAAAGACACAGAGAAGCAGGGGTGCCCTGGGTCCCAGCAGGGGATGGTACAACCAGAGCTGGGGATGTGGTGCTGCTGCGACATCACAGCACATCACACTGGAGGCCAGGAGGACAGTACGCGTTCTTCTAATTCACGTTATGCCGGTCACATTCCCCAGACAGTCCTAAAGGCCTTTCTCTCAGATGCCATTACTCCCACCCTGGGGTATACACACTGGACCGAGGCAGGCTCAAGAGAAGGCTCTCGCTGCCACCATCTTCAATCCTTTCTGGAACACTCAAGGGCATAAATTCTTAACCGTTCCCACTGGCCTCGCCTCCCAATGCCCCGGAACCTGCCTTCAGCACGTGTCCGCCTCCTGCTCTGCTCACCGGCCGGGAGCTCTCAGGAGGCCACACCCTTCCGTCTCCGAGGATGACTCTTAGGTCAGGACCAGTCTCCATCCTTGGCCCAGAGCAGCTGGCACTCCATTTCCTTGCTGTCTTTCAGAGTGGCCTCATCTCCCTTCCCCCTCGCTTCCAAACTGCTCAGTCCCTGTTGGGTATAATGTTATGTTCAACTCCAAAGTCCTGTGGAGGTGACCTTGTTTGGAAACCAAGCCTTTGCAGATGTTCGCAAGTTAAGAGGAGGTCATACTGGAGTGTGTGTGTGTGGGGGGGGGGGGGGGGGAGGGGGGGGGTCCTAGTCCTGATGACCAATCCTATATAATAAAAGTATAATGCAAATCAACCGAACTGCGGAATGATTGGTGGAACGACTGGTTGCTATGACATGTACTGACCACCAGGGGGCATATGCTCAATACAGGAGCTGCTCCCCAGCCCCAGGCCAGCCAAGGCAGGGCCAGTGAGCTGGTGGCGCCAGGCGGGCAGCAGCCGGGAGCCCCCCAATTGCCCTGCTGGTCACTCCACAGACAGGCCCTGATCACTGACCAGGCCTAGGGACCCAGCCATGCACTGGACCTCTAGTGTCCTTATAAGGAGAGGACGGCATTTTAACACAAGACATGCAGCCATTCTGAGGTTGAGGTCAGTGATGTATCCAGAAGACTAGGAACACCAGGGTTTCCGGTCAATACCAGAAGCCTAGAGGCATAGAGCAGACCCTTCCCAGGGCCTCTAGCAGGAGCCAACACCTGCTCTTAGACCACTGCCCTCCAGCTGCGTTAGAAGATATTCTGTGGCAGCCACAGACATCTAAGTCCCCGCTACCGACTCCTTTTGCCGTCCTTCCATCCCGATCCTCACCTGTGTCCAGATCCCTCCCGGATCTCTGCCTCCTAATGTCATTCTTAAAATAACTACCATTTCACCTCCAATCCCTCCAAAAGCGAGTTTGCCTGCTGACCATCCCAGCCTCACGTGACACCCCCCCCCTCCCCCCAGTGTCCGATGGCTTGGCCACAGACTTGTAGCTCATCTTTGTGGTGTCCCCAAACCTCCCCGCGACTCATTCTCCCTGTGTGAGTCCTCCAGGAGACACCTGGGGGAGAGGGAGCGGAGAGAGAGAAGGAACTGCTTGCTTCCCTTTGCCAGGTGGCAGGGCCCAGGCCTGGAAGAAGGAAGCTCACCTGTCAGGCCTGGTGGGGCATGCATCTGGCACCCAAAGGAGCCCAGTGTGGACACTAGCTCAAGGCATGCACCTGGGGGAGGGGGATCTGGCAAGAGAGGGGTATTTGCTGTGACAGATGAGTCAATTGTGTGTTGAACCAGCGTTTTTGCCACCTTAAAGCCACACCCAGGGGCTTGCTTTCATGCTCTATACTTCTTGGCAAACTTCTACATGGGCCATATAGTAAATATTTGAGGCTTTTCAGGCCAAGAGGCAAAATCAAAGACACTTGCATTTGTAATAGCCACTCCGAAATAAAACCCGTGTTTGGCTCATGGGCTGTAAGCAACCAGCGCTGGGCAGAATTTGGCCATGGGCCACAGTCTGCTGACTCGGCTGCTAGACTCACCTCACCATATGGACGAAGGACAGCAGCCGTGTGGACGGCCACCCGGACAGAGCTGGCCCCGAGGAAGCGTCTCTGGGCCACCCAGGACCTACCTCCCGAGGGTATTTGCTGCATTCTTGAACGACCTACGTGCCTGCCTCGGGGGTTAAGCGGTTTCGAGCCTTAGAGGTCCCTCACCTGGACAGTTGTAACTACACCTCACCTCACAGAAGACGGTGGGGAGCAGGCAGAGACAAGCCCCCTCGGGCTGCACTCCCACCAGCTGCCTTGGGTCTGATCAGGTGTTTTCCCACCAGAAGGTCACGGGTTCTTCCCCACGCCCCTTGCCGGGAAGATCCCCGTCCCCTGGAAGAAGTCTCCAGCTGGCAAGCTTTGCAAGCAGCCCCAGCGTGAGGGGAGGGAGAAGCTGGGCACTGAGGGCCTGTGGGAGGGAAGAGGCTTTGGAGAAGAATGTTCCCTGCAGCCCCCAGGAGGCCAGGCACGGCCAGGAGCCTCAGAGTGGCCCCTTGAGTAAGGTGACCAGACATCCCGCTTTTGGCGGGACAGTCCCGATTTTTAACCATTTGTCCCTCGTCCCTCGGCGTTTTATAAAAGAGTCAGGATTCTTCCCCAAAATCGGGACTTTTTAAAAACGCTGCAGGACAAATGGTTAAAAATTGGGACTGTCCCGCCAAAAGCGGGATGTCTGGTCGACTTACCCGTGAGGGTGTCTTCAGAAGCAAATAGGGGCTTTAGGACACTAGCAGGCACACTCGAAATCGGCAGCTCCACGGAGCTGTGAAGGTCACCTCCAAAAAACAGTCTCAGAACCCCTCTAGACCTCTCTCCGCCAAGCATGTGTGACACATCCCCGAGACTGCTGGTTCAAAGGGCAGCCCCCCACCCCATGCCGCTGCTCCTGGCACAGCCTCTCACGGGGCACTGGGACAGCGTCTTTAGGAATTCAGAACTCTCAGGTTTTAGGAAGATAATCCTGTGCGGCTACCATATCGCCCCTGGCAGTGGGGGCCTGGGCGCCGCCCAGAACCAGACCTGGCGATTGTATGGCGAAACATGACTGTTCACACAAAACACGGCCCACGCCTCTCAACCGCTCAGGTCAGGTTCTGCTGCCAGCGGGACCAGAGGGAACCTGGCGGTTCCGGAGCTAGCTGGGGTGGCGTTTCCTGAAAGGGTAGGGATGATGGGCCTGGACCAGAGGGTGCTTGGGGAATGGGGTTTGGAGGACTCTGGAAGGAGCAGTCACCATCTGGGGGAGCCCCACCACCAAAGCTAATAGAGGACAACTCTGAGAGCCCCCATCCCCATGGCCCTGGCGGGGGTCAGCGTTCTGACCCTTCTGCCTCCTCGCACACAATGCAGGTGAGTGTGGGGTGGCTGCTCTAGGACGTGGCAACCTCGGCGCTGAGAGCTCTCCATCTGCCTGCACTGGGGCCATTTCCCTGCTTCTGTGGCTCACATGGCTAAACGCACGACAGTCCCCGCCCCACAGCTGACTCCACGAGAGGAAAGGAAACGGGGGCGATGGAGACGGCCAGAGGACAAAAGGCCAGAAGACAAAAGCTGTGGGGACCACGAAGGCCAGGAGACGCAGTTGCATTCACCTGAGAGGTAGAGCCAGATGCTCAAGGGATGAGTCACCCCTGTCCGTCCCCCACCCCACCCCACCCCACCCGGGGTCACGGCCGGTACCTCCACGGCCACGCTGAAGTCCACCATGGAGACGCTGGTGTTGCGGTGCCAGCACACGTGCACCATGGTGTTGCCGCGGTGCGGGGCCTGGCGCTCCAGCGAGGTGCGGGAGGCGCTGAGGTCGTCCTCGGACTCCTGGTCGGCCACCGTGGCCTCGTCGGGGGACTCTGTGGATGTGGCAAAAGGCGGTGCTTCTGATCTCTGCTCACCAGAGGGGCCCTTTCCTGACCCCTCCCAGGAGCTGAACGGGCCTGGAAGGTTGGGGGCACTCAGTGATGTGGCCCCAGGTCCCCAATGCAGCCACTGAGCAGGAAGTCAACCACCAGCCACCTGCCTGTCATGGGCCCCTTCCCCCCCTTTGGGGGGCCCCAGCACACCTGGGCACTGGGCCGCTGCTCGCCCAGCATGGGGATGGCCTGATTTCTCTCCCCGGTCTGTCACATTCTGTATGACAAGCAGTGATGCTGGCCCAGAAAAGATACCTTCCCTGCTCCCTCATTTTAAGGATTTTTATATTTTTAGGAAACGGAATTTCCTTGATTTTTAGCTTTAAATATGAATATAGTCCACGGATCTGAGGCCCACCAGGTAAGATGACTTCAAGTGCACAGGCTGCTCACCCTAAGGCCAGAGCTGCCCGCCCCTCGGCTGATTCCTGGGAGCAGTGGGCCCGGGCCACCCCGGGAAGGCCTCCCCCCCACTTACTGTTGTCCGGGGGGCTGCTGGCGAGGAACTCGGGAGTGGGGCCGCTGCTCTTCTCTGCCAAGTCGATGGCCATCTGTATGTCGTCCACCCACTTCTCCATCTCGGCCCGGGAGCTGGAGAAGAGACGGGCGTCAGGCTCTCAGACCACGGCAGGTGGCAGGGCGAGCGGGCAAAAGGGCCCCGTGTTACCTGGCGGCCACGACGATGGACTGGCGCTGGCCCCGCAGGGTGAGGCAGTGGGGCACGCCCCACTCGTCTTCGCTCCTCTCGATCTGTGGGGCGAGCGTTCGAAACGTTACTGCCAAGGAGCAAGCAAGCGAGACACGCGGTACATTTTCAGATGTTCACGGAAAGGGCCGAGGCTCGGAGAAACAAGTCAGAAGAGTAACCAGAAAGGGAGAAGAAAGATCAAAAGGCACTGAATGATTTCCGGTAGAGCTCATACGCTGCCCTTGATCCCACCACAGCCAGGGAGCAATCCTGGGCTGACTAATGACCAAGGGTCACAGAGTACAGACACTCGCCCACAGGCACGTCTCGGGGAAGGACAGGTGGCTCCCTGGTCTCTGCGTGGGCTCCATGACTCCACGTGGGTGGCGAGGATGGTCTCCTGGCCCCCGGGGTCAGGCACAGCGCCGGGGGACGTGGGAGGCACAGTCACCCCACGTGGCCATGTCACCTTGCCTCTTCACAATCCCAGGAGCAGGATACCCAGAACCCCCCATGCAGAGGAAGGAGCCAGGTCGCGGCCCCTCTCCAGGGAGCAGAACCCAAACAAGTGAGGTTCCCAAGGCACCTGGGATGCCCTCACTTCCTGTCAAGTCCCTCCTTTTCCTTCCCCACGTCACCGCCCCGGGGCTCAGGGTCCCTTCAGCCAGGCGCACACCTGCAGGCAGGCAGCCCAGAGGGCGAGCGAGGCCCGGTCCCCGCCGGCTGCATACTCACGGTCATGCCGTAGAGCGGGAGCTGCCCGTGCACTTTGAACTGATTCGAGATGGTCAGTCCCCGGCTTGTGTACAGCAGGACGTCGTTGAACTGGAGGACAAGGACAAGGGCAGCTGAGGTGCACGGGCTCCGTGCGAAACCAAAACGTGCAGAAAGCGTTTTCGAAATACTGCATGACAACGCGCTGATCTCAACAACTCCACGCGGAGCCGCAAAGCTGCTCCTCCTGCTTCCCAGGTGCCCCCCCCCCCCCCGCCTTCCTCTCCCTTCCCCCCGCCCCCCGCCTTCCTCTCCCTCCCCCCGCCCCCACCTTCCCCCCCCCCCCCCCCCCCCGCCTCCACGGGCAGCACAGGCCTGGCCCTGTGACCCCACGGACCACGGACCAGAGGGAGGACACGCAGCTCTCCCCACGTACCAGGAAAAACATACGCTGCTGCAGCCCCTTCCCGGAGAGCTTGCTGAGGCTTCCCAGGCGAATGAATTCCTGCGGAGAAAACAGACCCCAGGCGCTGGCTGGGAGCGTGCAGACCCGGGTCCGCACTGGGACACTGGCTTCCTCACACCCTGGCCGCTTCCACGCTAAGAATCACAGCCATCGCATTAACTGTGTACTGAATGCCCTGCTCCGCCGCCTCCTTCCCAGGAACCTGCTGGCAGGAACCATGGGCTCCACCAACAGGAAACCAGCACTCGGGTCCAGTGGTGTCTGGTTCAGTCAGGCCTGTCATTATGCCCTTATCCCCCGGGGCCTGCAGGCTTCCCACTGTGGGGAAGGAGAAGACGGTGGCCTGAGGCACTCACTGCCGAAAGCCAAGGGAGCGTGGTCTTGCGTGTGGTCCAGGGGCTCCAGGGAGGGGTGTGGACTCTGATGTCAATGTCTGAGGGCTGGAGATGGAAAATGTCTCTTACCTAGAACTTTTCTTAAAAAAAAAAAAAATGGAACAAGGTAAAAAAAAAGAAAAGGCTCCTAATCGCCTTAAGCTCAAGCTGCTTCCTTATGGAGGGAAATCCATCCAAAGATGTCCAGGGCTCTGAGGTTTTGTTTGTTTTTTAATATATTTTATTGATTTTTTTTTTTTTTACAGAGAGGAAAGGAGAGCATAGGGAGTTAGAAACATCTATGAGAGAAACATGGATTCAGCTGCCTCCTTCACACCTCCTACTGGGGATGTGCCCACAACCAAGGTACATGCCCTTGACTGGAATCGAACCTGTGACCCTTCAGTCCACAGGCCAATGCTCTATTCACTGAGCCAAACTGGTTAGTTTTAACCAGATGACCCTCCTCCCCCTATCTTGCCTGCCCGTCCCTGCTTCCTTTCTCTTCTGTGTAGTGAAGGAGGAAGTGCTCCTGTACCCTAGACGGCCTGTCCAGGAAGAACTCTCTCAGGCACACAATTCCCAGGACAGAAAAACACCCTCAGGGAATAGTGCTGCCTCCCAGGCAGGCTGACCCCCCAGGAGGGCCAGTGGGACCACATCTGAAAGCCATGTGGGGGATTAGACTGCAGGTTTAGTAAAACTGTCTGCTCCTCTTTAAATCTCAGCTTTTCAAATCCCACCTGTAGACAAATCTATCAGAGTCTCCCTTCTGCCCATTTGGTTATGTCATAATTAAAGTTAATTAACGATAATCTATGGGCCTTGGCGTGTGGAGTGCCCCATCCTAAGAACTCGCCCCTTGGAGAGCCTGAGCCCTCCAAGTCACTCAGGGTTGACGTGGAGCAGGGAATGGCTCTGAAGCCAGCTGATGAGCAAAAGAATATGCAAATAAGCAGTTAGTAACCAGCACCCCAATTCCGACCTCACCCTTAAAATAATGACCTTTAAGTTAGCCTGTGGTGTGTGCCTATGTGCTGTGTGCATATACTAGCTCTATATTAGCTCCATACATGAGCTTGAACAATTCAATATCATCACCCCCATTTTCCAGGAGAGAAAACTGAAAAGCAAAATGATTAGAAACTTGCCCCAAACCACCTGGTCAGCTATGGGTGACAGAGCCCCTATTTGGCTAAAAGCTTTTGATGCCTTCAACAAGGCTGTGCTGTGGAACCAATAACATGCCAAGTGTACAATTGGTCCATTCAAATCAATGCAGGTGGGGGAAGGGGAGGATAATTCGTATTTATTTTTCCTTTTCCCCCTTAAGTCTCATTCTATCCTCGTGACCTAGGAGGGAGAGGTTATGATCCGCGTTCCAGAAAGGGAGGACCGTCCGGTTGGGGGAACGTCCCAGCTTTGGTGGAGCTAGAATGTAAACCCAGGGCCACCTACTCCAAGCCAACGCTCCTCCCGGCACCACGGAAACCTCTCCTCAGAATAAACGCGTTACAGAGGGTCTGCTTGACATGGAGCATAATGTACTAAATACTTTATAACACCCAGAGTTCGGAGAAAAGTACGCCGATCCCACAGGGCTCTCCGAAGACTTCTGTGTGGATGGGTTAGCATGGTCACGGGCGGAGGCCTGGCGGGATTTTCTCAGCCGCAGAGCTGAAACAAATCCCAGCTTTCACTGCCCCCTCAGCACGGACATGTAACTCTGCTGACAGCCTTTCCCAAGGGGTTTTCAGTCAGTTTTGTATTAGGCTTCCTGACAGAAATACCAAATACAGTCAAACCTCAGTTCCCGAATGTCTCCCATCTTGAACAATTCAGTTCCTGACCAAATTGTTAAATGAACTTATGACCCTTTCACTCTGATCCATCGGCATGACGGAAAGCATTCTTGGGCCACACATGGGCGAGTGTGAGTCAGTTTACTGCTACACCTCACATTAACATCTCAGGAAATTGTGCTGTGACTATTTTTGTGGGTTTTCATGGTTTGCGTATCCCCCCCCCCCCTTTTTTTTTGCTGTTGAAATGAATGGTTAGGACAACTTTAAAATATAAAAAGGCTATCAAGAATGCTGATGTTGCTAAGGGTGTGAAAGTGCTCACAAAATGATTACAAGCAAGTGGAGAGGCAGAAAATTGTTGGTTTGGATAAAGGAAAAACGGTTAGCAGAGACAGCATTTCAGAGGCAGTGGCATGTGAAAAAGCGAAGATGCTACCCCTGACATCCTGAAAGAGAACCCTGGAAGGAGTGCTGAAAGCGAATGAAGGCCAGCAGGGGCTGGTTCAATAAATTTAAGGAAAGAGATGTTTGTGTATAGATTTAACAGCACATTAGACTAGCACTTCACTTAAGAAAGGTTAAAACAGAATCATTTGGGGGGGTCTGGAATGAATTAATTCAATTTACATTATTTTTAATGGGGGGGAAATGACTGGGTTTTCAAACAAACAGCCTCTCGAACAGCCATCTGAAATGAATTAAGTCCGAGAACCGAGGTTCCACTGTTCACAGAGATGTTCCCGCATCTCCTCCAAGCTGCACGGGTCTAAGGTTTCCAGGGCAGCTACCTGTCAGGTGCGACCGAGAGCCCCGGGCACAATGGAAACCTGTGTGGAGGTGAAGGCCGATGCAGAGACTGAGCCTGGGTGATGGAGAGCTCAGAATCAGGGCGCTCAGAAGACAGATCTCAAGAGGAGATGGGTAAGATGGGCCACCTGGCGAACAGTGTTGATTCTTGGGAAGAGAAGTGGGAAAAGGTCGGATCTTGAACATGCCCATGGCTCGGGGGGAAGCGTGTCTGCAGTGAGGCTGCTTCACCGAGCACAGTGGCCTCTCAGGAGGGGCTGCTCGGTGAGGTCACTGCGAGAGGGAAGCCGCAGCTCTCCCAGAATCAGGCTCTGGCTAGACCGTTACTTTAATTCCTAACTAAAAGTACATCATGTACAGGAAAGTTTATCTTTTGAAAGTAGTTTCCATACTTACGTGGGATTTGATAGCATGATTTCATGCACTGGCTTTTCCTCTGCCTTTTATAGCACTATTGTACCCAATCAGAAATGTTTATCTTCCATTTTCATTTACCTACCTTTTAATAAACAAAATAAGCTATCTCACAGAGAAACATCAATCAGACCATCAAACCTCAGAGGGAAGGTAGGGGAGGGTGGGGGTAAGTGTGAGAGACCAACCAAAGGACTTGTATGCATGCATATGAGCCTAACCAATGGACAGAGACAACAGGGGTGTTAGGACATCAGTGACGGGGACTAGGAGGGATAATGGGGGAATAAGGACACATATGTAACACCTTAATCAATAAAGAAATTTTTAAAAAAGATTTAAAAAACAAACAAAACAAAAAATAAACAAAAAACAAAATAAGCTATCTCAAATTGTCTTAGATCATTGCAGGGGGGAAAAAGGAAAGAAAAAGAATACTTCATCTACTTAATAAAGGCTTATCTCCTTCAAACATGAAACTTTTAAATGTGATATTCAAGGTTTTCCCCCTAATGATCCCCCGGGAGGAAGGAAGTCACATCTGTGCTCAAAGCGCGCAAATGTAGTAAGTCACTTCAACGCCGCTTTACTGGAGCGGCCTCCAGTGCGTGAGAGAATGCAGCTGCTTACCCTTCCTGGGATCACAAGATTGTCGACGCCGATCAAGTCTTTCTTGAGTTCGTGCAGCTTCTGGAAGTTCTCCATCTTGATCATCGTACCGTGGAGCTGGGCCACCATCTCCGTGATCTCCGCCAGCGCCGCTAACAAAGAAACAGTGACACGCAGCGTTAAGGGCGGACGAGGGTTCCCCCTCCAACGTCCTGAAGCTCAGCTCCGCAGGGCGACAATACCCTGCAGCAGCTGAACTCTCCTGGCTGCTGTCCTCCTAGGGGAAACACGGCTATGTCTCACAAACAGAAACCGAGGGATTGGCTGTACTCTGTATGTATCCGCTCTGCCTGAGTTTCCCAAAGGCCGTGTGAAAACGTAACTGACCCCTTCAGAGCGGCCTGGTGGACAGCTGCCCTCCGGGAGAACTGCTTGTTGGCCCAGAGGGGAAACTGTAGGGGAAAAGGGTGCCTAGAATTCTGCCCCCAGGGCAGCGATTTTCTTTTTTGTACCCCCTTCTCTGGGAAGAACAGAGAACAGAGGCCACAGGAAAACCTGGGCAAAGAGGGATCTTTCTGGGAGAGTCGGGGTTGGGGAGTGCCGAGAGCTGTTTCCAGGATGCTGCTGCACCCTGAGCCCCGAGGGACCGGGTGAGCAGGGCAGCACCGCGGCACCAGCCCTCAGGGGGCGCTCCTCGGGCCAGAGCTCTGTGGCCCGGTCCCAGGTTTTCCTAGTCCCTCAGGGCAGGCACGGCTCTTTAGTACCTGGCCAGCTATTACCTGTGATCTCTTTCTATAAAGTGAGGATCGCTAAGAACTCTCTTTTCCTTCCGCCTTTGTGTGTGTTTCCTCCCGTGATCGTGGGTGGTTTGGCACAGAGAACCCAGGTGCCATCCTTCCTCTGAGAGCCCCCCCCCCCCCCCGATGAGCATTCGGTGCCCAGTAACTGTTGACTGGACCATACTGGCTGGTGGTGTCTGAGGATGGAGCAAGCCCGGGTCTGTCACTGTGGCTCAGACAGCATCCTGTGATTAGCTGGGAAGCATCTAATTGGCATCCCCGGGGAGAAGGTGAGAAGGCGAAACGCTCCCCTTGCAACGTTGAAGGGCTTCGTTTTCTGAGGCCTGAAGTTCAGTTGGCAAGTCTTTCTTGCTTTCTTGACAAAAAAATAAGTGAATGCTCAGCTATGGTGGCTTTGCATGCCACCCAAACGTGTGTTAACGGCACACCAGCCCCTCGTACATGTTGGATGCCTATCCCGATAGGGGAGATGTGCCCATTTTGCAAAAGTTCTGTTTTGCAGTTGTTCTTGGCCACCCCCTGGGAAGACAGGATGACTCCCGCAGAAGGTAGTGCTGGGGGTGCCGGAATGAATGTTCATCACTCAGAAGCTGCTCACCTCGGCAGTCCCTGAAGTCGGCCTCGTTGGGCGGGTTGTCCTTGCACAGCCGCTCCAGGACCTGCTTGTAGTGCATGAGCCGGTGCAGCGGGCGCAGGAGGAAGGTGTTGAGCGGCAGGTAGCACACCTTCTGCAGCTCGAAGTCTCGGCACAGGTTCTCCAGCCGCCGGGAGCTCCGGATGCCGGTCTCCAGCGCCTCCAGGGCCTCGCCGTGCTTCCACAGGTGCACGGCCAGTTGCTGTTGGGGCCGAAAGACAAGCGTGGGGAGGGGTCCCGCCCAGTGGAGGTGCATGGGCACGCGGTCCGCCCCCCGGCCTTTGGAGATGAGGATCACCTCCCTGTCTGTCCTTCATGTCATTAGATCCCACGCATTTCACATTTCATGATTTATTTCATTATGCCATGTTCTTGGGATGAAATGAAAAGCGCTAGGAAAGCACTGAGCAGTTCAACACACACAGGGTGCATACCACAGGAGACATATTAGAGAGGTACATGTTCCTTTAAAAACAAGACGGGCAGCCAGAACCGGTTTGGCTCAGTAGATAGAGCGTCGGCCTGTGGACTGAAAGGTCCCAGGTTCGATTCTAGTCAAGGGCATGTACCTTGGTTGCAGGCACATCCCCAGTAGAGGGTATGCAAGAGGCAGCTGATGGATGTTTCTCTCTCATTGATGTTTCTCACTCTCTATTCCTCTCTGTAAAAAAAAAAAAAAAATTAATAAAATATATTAAAAAACAAAAACAAAAAAACCCCACAAAGGACAAAACACAAGACAGGCAAAACGGAGGGAAGATAAATGGGCAGGAGCTCCTTCAGGGACCTGTGGCTTCCCTCCACAGGCCACAGGATGACAGACAGACCGGGCTACTCCGTACACGTCACACAGCGACAAATACGTGTTCCTGACGGACTCCCCGGCTGCCCCTGGGGTACGTGCCACAGCCACCTGCCCTGCGAGATCCCAGGGAGCTGAGGAGAGAGAGGTAGGCACGCTCCCTGCTCCTCTGGGGTCTGACCCAGATTCTCTGCCACAGCAAACAGTGGTCAGGCTCCACGCCTCCTCCCAGGCCTGCCTGTGCATTTCCTGGGAAACCCAGTTTTGGCAAGAGCCCTGATGAAGCAGTGAAACCACAGCCTCCCACCCAGGATCACTGGTCACCCAGGACCCCGGTTCCTCATCTCCCACCAGCCCTCAGGCGATGTCTGACTACCTGGGGTGGGGGACGGGTGACCCCCAGGACTAGGGACCAGGAGTACTTCCCAGGAGCGGCTCCCAACCCCACACGTGCATTTCCAACCCGACACCCCCACTCCACGCTCCAGAAACCCAACGCCTCCTGCCTCACCTGGGGCTGCCCCGTGGTTCTCTAACCTCCGGATTGCAGTTGCTCAGGACAGAGAATGCTGGAGAACATTCTGGATTCCCTCATTTTTCCAATCCTTCACCAAGCCCCACCAGCTCTACCTCCTTAGACCAGTGGCCGCTCTGTTGACTAATGGGTCTGCCATATGCCTGTCTTCATCCCCCTGGTTTCAGGCCCGTGCCGCGCAGCACGGTACTGGTGTCTCCGCTGGAATCTCTGCTACCTCGCCTCACCCCTCCACCTTCTCACACCTCAGCCACCAACGTGAACATCTTACAATGAAACAGAGCACATCGCCTCTTGCTTGGACACAAGAGCTCCCAACATTTTGGGACAACCCCGAGGCTTCAGCAGGTGCACCGCGCTCTTAGGATGGAATCCCTCCCACCCTCCATCATCATCTCTTGCTTCTCACCCGGGGCTGCCCACTGAGCGGCCTGCATTTGATGTGCCAGAGCCTCTGCATACGACACACCCCCACCCCAGCCCACCTCACCCATCAGGGTTAGCTCTGGGGCCTTCCCTGATCTCCAGGCTCAGTTACGATGTGGCTATCCCCCTGCACTTAACGCTGTTTGTTCCTCTAAGTCCTTACCACTAGCCTCCCCTGTACAGTCTATTTTGTGAAAAATATAGAGATTCATAGGAATTTGCAAAGAAATGCTCAGGAGGTCCTATGCACCTTCACCTGGCCTTCCTAATGGAACGCCTTGCACGACAATAGCACAACAGTGCAACCAGGAGACTGACATGGTACAGCCCTCAGGGTTTATGTGGATCCCACCACATAGTTAGCTATACATGCCCTCACTTGTGTGCAGGTGCACGTGTATGTGTGCGTGTGTAGTTCAATGCATGTAGTTCAATGCAATGCTATCACATGGGCAACTGTGTTTGACTGTGAGAAAGTATATGTCATGTCGCCACACCATCCAGGCCTGATATGCACAGCAGGTCTCAGTAAAAGTCTGCTGCCTGCATGCATTCCTGGGCAAAGGAACCAACGCATGCAGCAGCGGAGGCAGGAGTCTCGCCAGGACTGAGTGGAAAGAGCCTGGAAGGAGTAGGTGGCAGGAGTTTAAGAAGGAGACGGGCCAGAAGGTGGAGGCCTGGGGAGAGAGACAACCCGGCCTGAGTGGTAGGTGAAGGGTCAAGGTGAGAGGCGAGGACCTACTTCCTTTGGCTGAAGTGCCTTGTGCACTTGGGCAGATGTTGCCAGGGGCACGTCACTGTATGGGCACAAGGTTACAGTTTGGCTCTCTCTGGCTTTCGGGTGGGGACTGGAGCGCCGCCCAGCTCTCTGTCGGTGCAGAGGGTCTGTGGACAGCTGAGGGCAAGGACAGTACCCCCGCTGAGCCTCTGCAGATGCAGTGAACACACAGGCTGGAACGGCGGGAAAGACAGTGCAAGCAGGGGATCACCTAACACTGTGGACACCACTGCTACCCTGGGCTTCGGTGTCACCTGCTGCTCCCTTCCACACGTCATAAAAATTCCTTAAAACCAACCATAACAACCGTAATTTTTAAAACCCCAATTTCTCCAAACGCCTGCGAGTGGCTCCCTGAGCCGCTCTGTCTATTTTTATTTTGCTTGCACAGAGCTCTGTGCTGTAAACCTCCTGGCATCGGCACAATAAGGAAAGTGCCAGCACAGCGGAGGAGGCTGACTAAATGCGAAAATGCTAACTCACCAGAGTGAGGAGAAAGAGCTGCTATGAGTGGAAATCTGGTGTATTTTTAGGTCCTAGGTGCTACGTGAATGGAGAGGAGGGCGGATGTCTGCTGAATGCCAGCTCTCCGGGAAGCCAGCAGCCGCCGGAGAGGGTCATGGGAAAGCTGGTGACCAGCGCTGCTCTGGGGACGGTCCCCGAGGGCTGTGGAATGAACGGGCCGGTCTCCATTGCTGTCCCAGAGGCCCATGGTGGAGTCTAAGCCTCTGTGAAGGGAGTACGCGAGGGGCTTATCGTCCCAGATAAAGGGATCACACTGTGAGAAAAGGCAAAAGACCCGACTGGGCTGAGGGCAAGTGCAGAACCCGGGAGAAGAGGCTTCTAGAAGAAGAGATTTGGGAGGAACAACAGCAACAAAACCATGGCACAGAAGAGAGCAAACGGGGTGTTTTTAATGAGCGGCCAAAGCAGCCTGAGAAGGCTGTACAATGGTTTCAACTCTAGGACGTTCTGGAAAAGCCCAAACTCTACAGAGAGTACAAGGTGGGTGGTGCGGGGGGTGGGTTGTGAAGGGTTAACTGGGGGAGCACAGAGGGTTTGTAGGCCGTGAAACTCTCCCGTATGACACTGTCACGGGGGATACGTGGCATTATGCTCTCGGCAACATCCATGGAATGTACAACACAAACAGTGAATCCTACTGTAATCCTAGCATTTCATTAATAATAATGTGTCAATACTGGGTCATCAGTTGTAGCAAGTTTGCCCCACAAGATATAAATGGGGAGGCTGTGTGTGTGTGTGTGTGTGTGCGTGTGCGTGCACAAGTGTGATGATGGTGAGAATATAGATTATATATTATAGTTATTATATAACTAGTAGCCCTGTGCAGGAATCCATGCGCCAGTAGGTCACTACTGCCCTCCTGTAGGCCCCCTGTCCCCCCACATACACACACCCCCTTCATAGCTTGCTGCCCTGCCCCTCCTGTGGCTCTCTGCGGCCCTCTTGTAGTTCGCTGCCCCACCTTCCTACATATCCACCATCCAGTGGTTACATCGTTGGTCATTACATCTCACGACGCAATGGATTATAAGCTTATTCCTCTCTTATTATACAGGATATATACTATTGTAAATTTTAAAAAATCACCATGGGGAGTGAAAAGATGTCTGTTACTATTACGTATGAGTTTTGTACGCCAACCTCACTTGTGACATTAACAACAGCATAGGTGTAGAACAACCTACAACCTCGATAATTTTTTTTTTTTTTTGGCATGGAATTCTGCAATCCTGATCACTTCCATGGCCTCTTTCTGATATTGCCTAAAGAGAGAAGTGTGGCTTTTTGAACACCTTTGAAAAAGCAAGCTATATCTCAGGGTCTGTTAAATAATATATTTTTTGTTGTTGTTAATCCTTACCCGAGAATATTTTTTCCATTGATTTTACAGAGAAGAGAGAGGGAGAGACACACAGAGAGAAACATCGATGTGAGAGAGACACATCAATTGGCTGCCTGTCGGAGATCGAGCCTGCAAGCAAGGTATATGCCCTTGACTGGAATCAAACCCAGGACCTTTCAGTCATGGGCCAACGTTGTAACCAATGTGAACCAAATCAGCAAAGGGCAATTACATATCTTGATCTTTAAGAGAAACAGGAAATCTCCTAAGATTTAGATCCTATCTTTTCTATGCCATGCATCCCCCTCCTCTACAAACCTCCCCTCATTTTATCTCATGAGATTATATAATTATAAAGGGAAGACAATGAACTATAAACAATTTAGCCAGATTTGGGGGGAATTAATTCAACTCGAATAGTAACTTTTATTCCATGAGTGCCGTATATGTAGTAACTCCTCAGCTAGTACCGCTTGGATGGATAAATGGACAGATGAATGGCTAGACAGACTGAAATGGTGAAAGTATGAGCAACCTGCTTTCTCCTGGAGGTTAGTAGTTTGCTCTGGGCAGCCAAGATATAGGATGACTGCTTTAAAATGTGAACGTAGATGTATTTATATTCACAAGATAAATTGTGTGAATTAAAATATTCTATGTTAAAGGAATCAATCATGGGTTAAAATGAAAATGCAAAAATGAAAGTTTCAGATATAAGAGATCGGGCTGATTTAAAAAACGAGGTAGAATATTGACTCAATATGTACTGACTTTATCGGGCAAGTTTTCACTCTTCTGTATCACTATGGATATTGCTGGATGGCTAAAAATACATCTTCCTTGCACACTGACTGTTTAAAGTCAGAGATTTGACTGGAGTTGCTGTGCAGCTTTGAAACCAGTATTTCTGTCAAGCTTACAAAGCCAAACAATTGGCAAAAAATGAAATGTTCAGTTAATCAAAGCTTTGTTTACAGAATTTAATAAAAATCTTGTCTTTAAAAAAATAACTTATATTGTTTTATAGAGAGACATGAAGTGAGAGGAGAGGAGAGGAGAGGAGAGGGAGAGAGAAACATCCATTCATTGCCTCCCATAATGAATGCTCTGACTAGGGACTAAACCTGAACTTTTACTGTACAGAATGCCACTCTAACCACTGCACCACATCGGCCAGGCCTACAATTTTGAATGATCTGCTTGCTAAAAAATACCTGCTGTCTTGGTTGTAACACAGAGCTTTTGTACGCAAGTGCTTCTTCCCCCAACATGACTGGATTTCCCGTTATGCTCCAACATGAAATGATCCAGAAAGGCTAGCAGAGTTTACCTCACTTTGTGGTAGGCGCAGACGGTCACAGCAGGCACCGCGTGTTTGTGGAAAAGCTTACGGCGGGCTGACTGACCCCGCAGCCCCAGCGAGAACGTGCTCTGCCCGCCCCCGAGCAGCTCACCTTCATGGCCTGCACGTTCTTCAGCATGACGTCCCCGATTCTTTGGTAATCTCCTCGGATGTGGGCGTTGGAGCGGCCTTCCCTGGAGGCAGAGGCAAGAGATTGGGAACCAGAGGGTGAGCACTGACAACGTAACTGGGAAATGTCCGAGCCCGAGGTCACAACATAGCAAAACTGAGGTCTTCCCTCCCAACGGCTTGTTTCTCCCTCTTCCTGCTCTGGGCATCACAGCGTCAGCACAGGCAGGAAGCTGTGAGATGACCCCAGTCCTTCTGCAGACAATGAGTTCCATTTGCGCTTTGAAAGAGACAGGGCCGACCATTGCTGACCGTTTTAATTTGGTCTCATTTTACATTTTCTTTCCCGCCATCCACACATGTTAAGTGTCACTGGAACAGCACAGAGATCGCGGTGGTAACTAGCTCAAGAAACGCAAGTCCACCCTACAGGTGGGGACTAACAGACTTGTAGAAGCAGCAGCAAGACTCAGGCTCAAAAATCAAGGCTCCTGCTCCCAAGAGCCTTCAGCATGAAGCATGCATGGAACTGTGTGAAAAGCCCCCCGGGAAGAGAAAAGTATAAATGAGCACGTGCAGGAGACCCACGCATGGAGGCGACAATGGGAAAATGATCCAGAAGAAGGGAGGATGAGGGTCCCGGTACAGAGGCAGGGAGGGGAGGGACCAAGGTCCTCCAGGTGTGCTGGGTGGGCATTTTCAGCAAGTATTTGGGTATATACTCATATTTCTTTAAAAAAATATATATTTTATTGATTTTACACAGAGAGGAATTGAGAGGAATAGAGAGCTAGAAACGTCGATGAGAGAGAAACATTGACCAGCTGCCTCCTGCACACCCCCCACTGGGGATGTGCCCACAACCAAGGTACATGCCCTTGACCAGAATCGTACCTGTGACCCTTTAGTCCGCAGGTCGGCGCTCTATCCACTGAGCCAAACCTGTTTCAGCTATACTCATATTTGTTATAGTTTAGTTGATATCGATCATCCGGAGGCTTAAATAGCAGAGAAAAAAGTAACAATAACAGTAGCTAGTACTTACTGAGCATAGTCCACCACGCTGAGTGCATTAAATGCTCAAGGCAGCGTGTGAGGCAGGTGCCATTGTCACCCCCATTAAACAGTTAGAGGAACTTGATGTGCGAAGAAACGGCACCCCTTGTCTAATGCCAGTTACCACGGGACAGCGAGCTCTGAACTTGAGCCCAGGAGTCTAGCTGGAGCCCACACCCCACACGACGACACCACGGCACATCTGTACACGTTGCCTGATGACTGGGCAGAATGTCTCCGAGACAATTAAAGCATGATTTTCAACAACCAACTAGGCTAATGTCTTCGAACCAACTATTCAGGGTGGCCAGAAGCCAACTCACTAGTAAACGAAAGGAATGAGTTAAGAAGAGAAAAGGTAACAATCTGGATACGACACTTCCTGCCAGAAGTGAGAAGTGCTGGGGGTGGGAGAAGCACCAGCCCCAGGAGTCAGGCGGACGGCGATTCCCCTGACGATGCATTGCTAGCACATCTCCGGTGACAAGAGAAACAACTTCCCGCTTAGCGGAAGCAGCTGGAGCCTCCAGAATGCTTGACTCCATCACGGACTCCTCAAGCATCTCGGAGGGGTAAGGGAAGGCAGCGGGGAAAGCACCTGCTACCAGCAGGTAGGAAGGTCAGGCAGGTGGACCTAGAGGGGCTGGCTCCTCCCAGCTCCTGGCGGCCCTCCCTCACCACACCATGGACCCCACTGGTTCTAACTGAGCACCTGTTACACTTACATCCCAGGGGAGGCAGCGCACCCAGACCCACTGGCAATTAAAGCTTCTCTAACATAAGAAGGGCAGCATCCGTTTTGCCCCCAGCTCCTCCCTGTTTCAATGTCTCCCCGAGGCCCTGTCTGTGACCTATTGCATTCTCGTCCAGCTGGAAGTAGAATTCATTCTGCAACCCTCTGCTTCCTCTTGGCTGTCAGAAGACACATTGCCGGCAGACTGCCCTGATTACTACTCACTTTTATGAACTGAATATAGATTCTAGCCTCGCCACTCCTGCCATGGCTCCGGGGACGATTGCCATTACCCTCCCAATGACCTAAACCGGAGGTCGGCAAATTGCGGCTCTCTAGCCACGGTTTGCCGCTCTGTTAACTAATAAGTTTGCCGACCACTGGGATAGGGGCTTAATCACAAGGAACAACAGCCTGTAATTATTGGAATCAGGAGTCTAGGTCAGTGGTTAGCAAACTCATTAGTCAACAGAGCAGCAAACCGTGGCTCGAGAGCCGTATATGGCTCATGAGCCACAGTTTGCTGACCACTGACCTAAACCACCGAGGCATCATCACACCTGTCCCTGGCCAACTTCTCTGGGCTAGTTGATCCCAATCTCCTGGTTCTCTGTTCTTTCTCTCCCGGAAACCTCTCTCCAGGCTGCTGGACTCCTCTGTAGGCCAGTTCTGCAGTGTCTTTGGCAACCCCTCCTCCTCAGGCTACTCCTAAGCTATCTGGTTCTCTTGGTGGTTACTTTCTCTCTTCATTTTCTACTTCTTTATGCCATCCTCCTATGCCACATGGTTTCAATCCACTTTGTACCTACTGATGCAAGTACTATATATATATATATATATATATATATATATATATATATATATATATATATAATTATATACTTTATTGATTTTTTACAGAGAAGAATAGAGAGAGATATTGTAGAAAGTTAGAAACATCAATGAGAGAAACATCAATCAGCTGCCTCCTACACACCCCCTCCTGGGGATGTGCCCGCAACCCAGGTACATGCCCTTGATCGGAATCGAACCTGGGACCTTTCAGTCTACAGGCTGACGCTCTATCCACTGAGCCAAATTGGTTAGGACCAAGTACTATATTTTTTATACCTCCAAAAGGTTCTGCATGCAGGACCCCACAGGTATCTCAAACTCAACAGGCTCCACAGAGTTAATTATCTTGTTGTCTCCAATCCTCTTCCTACATTTTCTTCCTTAATGTCCCTGTTCTGCCCCCATCTCAAGCTAGAAATCTTAGTTACCCTCACTCATCTGTGTCTCACATCCACACCCACCGAGTCCAATTCTACCCCCAAATGGAGAATGCTCCTGACACAGACTCCGCTTTGCGGTGGAGATAGTCCTCAGCCCACTGCTAATCACTTCGGTGGGCCACCCAATCGGCTGCAGGGTTGAAGGACCTCTGGATGTTGGGCAAAGAGTTATTCATCCAATTGCTATGGAGAAGTTTATTGTTTGGCCCTTCTGTTGATCCTGATGTGTGACTGGGTTTGCTGAGAATTTGCCGGGAGCAGAAAGGAGCTCCAGCCCGGAGCGGAGGCTTCCTGTTTATAGCCCCACCTCCACCACCACCCCCACTTCCCTCCGCCCCTGCACCTGCCCATCATCACAGAGCTTCTAGGAGCTGGAAGGCTCTCCTTCCTTCTCCCCACTGCCCCTGCTCCGCCCCACACGGCTGAACAACTCAAGAATTCCCAGCGACTGAGCCAGATGACTTGATTTTGAATTAATGCCATACAGCAATCAAAGGAGGCAGGACACAGCTTAGACCTGGTTTGTGGGAATGTAGCTATTATCTGGGACTTGGGTAGTCGACCCCTGAACTTTCAAATGGGCAGGCCATTTGACAATGCACATCAGATTGCTGGTTAGTTTGAAGGACATCATTTAGGTATTTCAGTGACAGTCGTGTGGGTTGGGTGGGCAAGGGGAGAAACGGGGTCCTCTGGCTTCCATGAATAACGAGCCATTTACTCGCTCGCACAGATAACGCCGGGCCCGAAGGAAAACGGAGTGCTGGCACGCAGACCCAGGCGAGGGACCCAGAGCAGGCGTGGAAGCCAAACTTCCCTGACTTCACTTCCTTTCTTCCTTTGCCAAGAATTTACCAAAAGAAAATGTTCTGATGTTAAAGCCCTGAACGGAAGGGGACCTTCTTCCTGCACAGGCTTGCTAGCAGGACCCTATCTGTTTCTCTAAGTCCGGAGCATCTTTCATTTTAGAAACTGCTTTGGCCGGTATCACCAGTTCCCTGGGTCGCAGGGAAGACACACTATCAGCAGGCCGGGGCCTGTGAAGCGAATGCAGCCCATGCAGGCAGCTCTGCCTTCCACCTGCCCGGCCCTCCCCTCCCCTCTGCAGCACACGCCACCCCAGCCCTGCGAGGCTCAGCCCCCCAGTGAGGCCATGGGAACGGGGACAGAGCCCGAAGCTCCCGCTGCCTCCAATAGCAACCCCATCATGTTCTGACTTCCTCTGCATGTGAAAGCCACCAAACCCTCCATCCAGCCCAAAGCCTGTGCTTTACTGTGAAGAGCCAAAAGGTCACGTTCTTATCAAGAACATGAAAAAGCAATTACAACTCTTCCGGAACATCCCCCGGATGTTAACCTCACAAGAAAAGGGCCCTTGTTTAGAAGGCAGGGCCACATACTTGTTGTGTGTGTAATCACCGCACGGCTCCAAAGCTGAAAACTCTTTTGACAATTTCACTTCGGAAACCCATGTGCCGTGTAGCCTCCCAGATGCTACGTTCCGACTCCTGCGCCATGATCCGTGCACTCCCAGGATCAACAGCATGTGGTCTCAGCACAGGGCTGAAAACAGATACACGCACAGCCCCCCGAATCTCCAAGACTTGGGCCCTCTGGAACACTTCGCTGACTACTCCATGAGCTGGTCAGTAGCTCAGCAACAGCCGGACCAGGAAGGAGGGAAAGATAGGAGGACGAGGACCAGTTCCCTGGAAGGGCTGCTGACCAACGCCGGCGAGGCAGGGTGGGGCCACCTTGCAGGGCCTTGACTCTGCCCGTCTATTGGCTGTGGATGCAGATGGGGGGGCAAGGACAATGGGATAAAGCACGAGTCTGCAGCAAGGTCCATAGAAAATCCACGTGGAACCCTAAAAGAAACTGAATGTGCAGCGTGCTGACCTTGCAGGGAATACAACCCCTGATTATGGAGCAAGCAGCCTAGGGCCCTGCCCCCTCTGGTGTCAGAGGAGATGCTTCACAGGAAAAGTGAGCAGTGAGTGAC